ATGCTCATTGGTCCATACTATCTTATGCTATGCATATGCGCTATGTAATTTTGTGTGTGATGGCCTTAAGGCTAGTGGCACACAGAAAAACGTAAGCAGTAAGCAAATTGGCTAATCACAGTCGCTGATTCTTCTTACGGTCCAAGAATCAACGACTGTGATTGGTCAATTCGCTTAATAAACTTAATAATATCGATGTGATTCGAAGAAAACTATGTTCTTCACAATTTATCCTGTTGGAATTCAGAGTTTATAATAATAGTTATAATAATACTATTAATAACGTTTATAACTTCGTTAAATAAGCCGTGGAAGCATACGTACTTTTCCATGTCGCTGACAGCTATTTTACTATCGATTGCATTTTTCGAGCATTTCTCGACAACCACTAAAGATATAAAAATGACTCAAAGAGCACTATCTGCCCCACAATTCATTTTATTGGAATTGGTAATTTATAATAATATGAATAATACCGGAGACGAAACAACTCGGTCCGAATCTCAGCTCAATAGTTTAGCGGACACTCCAAACACACACTCGGTTCGAATCTCGGTTCGAATCTCGGCTTAATAATTTAGCGTGAAAATTTGGTGAAATATAGTGAGATATAGTGGATTCAACGTTAAGAACGCGACTTTGGTATATTAGAAAATTATTTTCAAGATTCTGGACGTGTTACTGAGAGAGTAGAATGACATTAAGGCACATTGTCATCCAAGAGACGATGCAGAGCGAGATATGTACACTTCACATCACTTTCGATAATACACTTTTGCAAAATTTCTTTAAGTAACTTTAAAAAACTATCCCAGACTTAATTAACTCTTAATAAATTAGCGAAGACTCAAAACACTTCGTTTCGAATCTCGACTAAATAATTTAGCCACAAAACATGTCGGTTTGAATCTCGGCTTAATAATTTAGCGGAAATAGAAAACACGTCGGTTGAATCTCGGTTTAGTAATTTAGCGAAGCCTCAAAACGCATCAGTTCGAATCTCGGCTTAATGGTTTAGCGGAATCTAAAAACACTCGGATCCGAATCTCGGCTTAATAATTTAGCAGTAAATAGTAACATTTCAGTTCGAGTCTTGGCTTAATAATTTAATTTGCTATCTTTAATTTGTCGAAATTTAATTTGTCGTCTTGTAAACAGCAAACGCGTATGCATAAGAAAGTATCTCCGAAGAGATATTATGTCGTATATAATACGACATAACTAGTTATAAATTATTTCAATTAAATAGTATATATAAAGCATACATAGAGTATATATAAAACATACATAGAGCATATATAACGTATACAGAGCATATAAATATGACATGTTGAAATATATCAGTTTAATGTATCATCAAGAAATAATCCGACGAGAAGGAAGCCTGCCAAGTCGAAATTTCAATTGACCATTGTTATGCAAGAATAATCCAATTCAAAAAATTATATGCTTTTATCAATGGATACTCACTTCATATCTTTTTAAACCAAACAAAAAAATTCAAGCCTTATAGATGCTTAAAATGAATTAAGAAACAGTTTTTTTTATTTCTTACCAGTCACGTCTTTTTGCACATTTTTCTAAAGATTGAGCTAGTCAGTACTCTTAAAGAAATGGAAATGCTTGACTCCTTGAATTATTGCGAAAATCTTAGAGCTAAATTCTTTGGTTGGATTATTCTTACGTAACTCTGGCGAACAGCAAATTTCAATTCTTACTTTACTTCTCGTTGGACCCAATGCGATTTACGTCTACGTGCATGCAATCTACGTAAAGTGACGCTTTGTGTCTACTATATGAGCGTCTAAATTGAGTGCTCACCATTGCGCGTCGTCCCACGGTGTCCAGGGTCCACCAGCCATCCTGTCGCTGCAACTGTACTGCAATGGTCCTCACGTCCCACGTCGCCTGTGATTCACTCCCGACCGCGGTAATCTAACGGAGATTTCACGAAAAATCCCGTCACTCTTGGGGGATACACTCCGAGTTTCGAGTTGCGAATCGCGTATGTAATATCGCGAACTGTGTTTTCGAAAAAATGTCGGTTTTTCGGATAAACAATGAGTATGTGCGACGAATTCAGTAACGGTTCGATCGAGTGGCAGTGTATAGCTTTGATACACGCGCGACGCGAATCGAAGGCCGATCTCGCGAAATCTTTCGACGCGTGAGTGAAGTAATTGCGCGAGATTCTCACGTACGACACGGAATATTCCTAATGTAACGTTTCGATGAAGCAGCGTAGTAGGCTACAATATAGCTCCGCAATATTTTTGCGGATAACAGCTCCGTAATACTTTTGCGAAGACAATTCCGTAATGTTTTTGCGGATAACAACTCCGCAATATTTCTGCGAAGCTTGCTCGCGACTCTTCCGCAAATATGATCTGATGAAATTCGCAAACCTATCAAATTAATAATCGTGAACGCGAGCGTAAATGAAAAATCAAAAACTATGAAAATTGAAACGATAGAGATAAAGATTCTATTCAAAATTCACGCGAAGAAAATGTTACGCGTGAGACTTCTGTCTCCTCAACAGATCTGAAATATTGTTGCAAAAACTTCTCCGCGAAAATTTCCCCGCAATATTTTTGCGAAGACAATTCCGCAATGTTTTTGCGGATAACAGCTCCGCAATACTTTTGCGAAGACAATTCCGCAATATTTTTGCGGATAACAGCTCCGCAATACTTTTGCGAAGACAATTCCACAATGTTTTTGCGGATAACAACTCCGCAATACTTTTGCGGAAACAATTCCGCAATACTTTTGCGGAAACAATTCCGCAATACTTTTGCGAAGACAATTCCGCAATATTTTTGCAGATAACTGTTCCGCAATACTTTTACGAAGATAATTCCACAATGGTTTTGCGGATAACAACTCCACAATATTTCTGCGAAGTTCGTTCGCGACTCTTCCGCAAATACGATCCGGTGAAATTTGCAAAAATATTAGGTAAATAATCGCGAACGCGAGCGTGAATGAAAAATCAAAAATTATGAAAATTATGATGATAGAGATAAAAATTCTATTCAAAATTTACGCGAGAAAAATGTTACCACGTAAGACGTCTTCGTTCGATGGAACTTGCCGCGCGCCGCGTAAGTAAACAAACAGTAAGTAAACAACTGCTCGCATGTCTGACTTGTGTGACACCGCGTTTTTCGCGAGAGATCAACGCTCGTTAGCATTGTTTCTATTGTGTCCTGCGTTAGGAAATTCTAACTCTAAGTGAAAAATTGAAAGCTGAAAATTTTCCAACGATCGTGAAATTAATTTTGCGAGCAATTTATATACTCATGTTAGATCACTTCGCGCAGGTGCCGCACGATATCGAATTTTACTTAATAACGAAGCACGAACTTTATGAAATGCAATTGCGATTTAAGCTCACGCGAGAGAGAAAACTGGAAAAATTAACGACCGGCGGAAGATATATGACGCGAATGATGTGATTGCGCATTTTCTGTGGCACAATCTCTGTGCGCATTAGCTCGAAATACCTGGAAGATCGCATTCAATAAAACTAAATAATTGTATAAAATTCTGAATGTTCAGAGCGTATACTCAATACTTTAAGCATTTACTAGATAGTGTTGGGGTTTGATTAATCAAAATTTCCTCCGACAAAAATCGTCGACCAATCAATAATCTAAGTTAATCAATTAATAAATATATGTACATTGGAAGAAAAATACTAGAAAATTTATTTAAAATATGAATTTATGTAAAATATGAATTATCACTAATATTATTATTTGAAAAACCAATCTTCCAACTGTTTCGAGCAGTGTGATTTTTATCAGACGGCACGTACACATACTACAACTACAGCAAAGTAAATCGCATTGATTCAGTAAGCATGCACTACATCGAAAGACTTTTTGTCTTTCTATTATCAATATATTTTTTGTTTTGACTCACCAAACGCCGATCAGAGTAGCCACATTCTGCTTTCATTTCTGGAACAGAAAAATGCCATTTCGATTAGATTCGTGCATTGATGTTGATTTGAGTGAAGAAGACCGACCGATTAAAAAAAAAATAAGCGCGATAATTTTCACGCTGGAAGAATTTTTCGGAATGCATTCATACTTGGAATATTCCACTTTCCTTTTTCTCGACGTTGTAAATAAATCTCTTAATCAGAACAAATCAAAATTTTTCAAGTGGTGATATTACTCAGAAAAAATTCTCCCCGCGTGTAATTACGATTTAATCCGGTCTTTGATTCGATCTTTTATCTCGATTTCGAGCAAGAGAATTATCAATCTTGGCATATTT